CGTAGCTGAAATCATTGCATTATTTCCTGTAGCTAAAGTTACTGCTAGATCGTGAATCTTTATGCAATTTCACATCTTTATAAGCATAGTGAAAGAAATGGAGCCTAAGCAGAAATTTAAAGTTTGCATATTTTATATAGTATTTTTGCACTTTTTAAATTATTAAATGCGTGCATATGCATAAAAATTTTCAATCAAATTCATTACATCTTTGTGGATCTTTATGCAATTTCATATTAAAGAAATGGAGTCTAAGCAGAAATTTGTTTCAACTACTAAATGTTATAATAAGTTTCCCATGAATATGTCCATAATTCATAATCTAGAAGATTCTCTATATTTTAATGGATACGATTAAAGGAATAAAGTCTGAGCAGAAACTTTTTTTTCGTTATAAAACATATTATATTACAAACAAATTTATATACTATAATAACTTAAACTTTGATATTTTATATATATTTATACATTGAATGCACTTTTATATCACAAAAATTAAAAATTCGAATTATGGCAAATTTCACGAAGGAAGATCGGTTTCCAAAGGTGTTGAATAACGATGAAATTTCGCAATGTTGATTTAAAACTCTCTTTCCTCGAAACTGATAATTTACATGTATTATCGTATTTATCATTGTTTCGTTAAATTTAGAAACAGTCATTCGAAACAAGCAATATCGAGATTACTTTCTAACACCTTTGTAATAATTATTCTTCTTGTAATAAATCGTCATTACGTTCTATTCCCGACTATTTTGTCTACGTGTCTCTTCTTTATTGTAATATCCTTGGAAATGTACGAAATTTTACTTAAATTTAAGTCTAACTTGTTTTCCCAGTCAATTTTATTTCTCAATTTAATGAGAATTCAGTAAATAAAGAATAAAATAGAAGATACGTTTATTCGTAAGCGATCTTCCTTTTCTGTTTAATAAGCGATCAACAGTGTCTAACTCAAACAATTTCGGTAACCTTGAAATAAGAAAAATAGAAGATATTGCGAAACCGATTAAAATCTTGTTATCACGGCTACTAAGATAATTAAACGATATTACCAACCGAGCTCGAATTCTGAATGCACGTGTCTCCGCTTGCGGCAATGTATAATACACAGTACACATATTACTGATCCATGACTATCTTCTCGAACTAACGAGGAAACTGACAAATACGGAAATACGTATAACAAAAAGACCGATTAGCAATATTTCGAATACTTATTTATTAATCCTGTATAATCACTAGCCGTAGAAATTAACTCGACTAACTTCTCTGGAGAAATTTGTCATTTGCCCTTTTATTTATTTTCCTTTGAAATAATTCCGATGGAAAATAATTGTTTCAGTGGATTATTTATT